TTTATAGGTTCTGTGGCAGGATGAAAAACATTCTCTCTGGCTGTGCTGTTCTCCTTACTTGGCAGTTAGATTTTGTAGGGAAATTAATGAAACTAGCACTCAAGTTAATCAATCTTTTTTGAGTTTTGCTATTTCAGATCAGCCAAACCATGCTGAATCAACGAATAAATTTCCATTTCTGGCCCAAGGAGCTGGGAATCAACCTCTGAAATGTAGTGATCCATCAGCCATATCCATGCTGTACTATCAGACAGCTGGTGCTATCTGTGTCTCCTTGCCCTTGAATTCATAATTATGTTAAAAATTATTATAGCTGTGACAATTGAGAAGATAATGTAACAAAGTGCTATTGAAAAACAGAACTAATTTTGTTTCAACTTGATTCAATTGTTTGCTACTGTAGACTAGTTGGGAAGGAATAAAAAGTAACAGTCCACCTTCTCTTGGAAGTTTGCCAAGTCTTTCTAGAAGTTTCTAGAAGTTAGGGACCTAGCTATTTTATGTGCAAAATATTCTTTTTGTTTATGGGTTGAAAGAGGGAAATCAGGTGTATTCCTAGGGACTTGAAAAGACAAGATGTAGTGAGAGATACAACCAGCCTCACCTGTGGTGCTGACCACACCCAGTTGGGCGTGGTCACAGGTGGGTACATGAGCCTGTGGTATTTGGTCTAGGGTCCAGGACAGGCTTGCTTTATCTTGGTTCCAGTCTGGTCATGGAGAGCATCTTGAGTGTGTATCCCTGGAGTTGGAACTTGTGGATCATCTGTTTCTTATGTAAGTGACTCCTCCCCACCCAATAAAATTAACCTGTATTTAGCCTAGTCCTGTGTATCTTAATCTGTGCCGCTATAAGACTTTGTTTTTCTTTGGAGACATAAAGTCCACCCTGCTCATCCCAGTCCCTTTGAGGTGGCAGACTCTTTTTTTTTTATTTAAATTCTTTAACTACTCATATTTACATATCCATCCCCCCATTCCCTTGCCCTCCCATCCTCCCATGTTCCCCACCAACCCCCCAACCCATCCCCCAACTCCTCCCCAGGGATAGTGAGGCTCTCACCAAGGACCTTCAAAGTCTATCATATCATTTGGGGGAGGGCCTAGGCCCTCCTTGCTGTATCTGGGCTGCATTAGTATCCCTTCATAGGGAATGGGCTCCCACAGTCCATTTATGCTCTAGGTTTAAACACTGGCTCCACTGTTAGAGGTCCCATAGACTGTCTTGGCCTCCTAGCTGGCACCCACATTCAGAGGGCTTGGTTCGTTCTAATGCTGTTTCCGCAGTTTTATGACTAGGGTCTCCATTCTCTCACTAGGTCAGGTCAACAGTTTCTGCGGGTTCCTGCAAACTTGGCTTCTTTGCTCGTCCCTCCTCCCTCTCCACAATTGGATTCCAGGGGTATGGTTCAGTGCTTAGCTGTGGATGGAATAGCAGCTATGAAGCCAGGGTGGTGTGCATGAATACTAAGGTTTGGGAGCCTGCAGGAGCCTCTGGTCTGGTTTCCCCCTTTGAAAGCACCCCTGTGCCACCCACAAACCCAGGTCTGCCAACTGGCTCATCTCTGGAAAATCAAATCAAACTGATGGGGGTGAGGGGCGGGCAGGATATGAAGCATCAGCTAGGACACTGGTACCCCAATAGTGACACCATGTGGTCAAAAGGAGCATCAGTAACACAAAACAATGAGTAAAACAGTCTCCAGTACAAAGCTGTCAGTCTTGAGTAGAGGGATGAGGTAGAACCACAACCACAATCGGGTCATTAGAGCATTGAGGGCTGGGCGTGCGGTGCTTTGGGAGCAAGGAAGAGGAACATCTGGCCCTGTAACAGGTGTGCCTTGCTGAGTTTTGCAGGAGGTGAAACTGAGGGTATGTAGCTCACTATGACAACACAGGTTCAGTATCCCTTATCCAAAATGCTTAGAAGCAGAAGTCTTCTGGATATGGTAATCTTCCCAGATTCTGCAATAAAGCATTTGCACATATACACAATGAGAATTCTTGGGGCTGGATCCCGAGCCCAAATGTTTATGTGTTCATACACTTTATACACATAGCCTGAAGGGAAATTTTATACAAGACATTTAGTGCACCTGCACTCCCATACCACACTGACCTGTCATATGAGGTCAGGTGTGAAATTTCCCACTTGTGGCATCATTTCAGTGCTCACACAGCCAGAGACAGCAGGACTTGGGTGTGTATCCTTGGAGTTGGAACTTTCGGGTCATCTGTTTCTTATGTAAGTGACTCCTCCCCCCTCCCAATAAAATTAACTTATATTTAGCCTAGTCCTGTGTATCTTAATCTGTGCCTTAATCACAAGAGGACTTCAGGAAAAGGGTGAAAAACTTTAGCTTTATTGTGAAGGTGATGAGAGACACTGAGTGTGTGAGTCAGGAGTCTGGTGTGGTCAGACCAGCAGTTAACCCTGGTCAGGTGAAAGAAGGCCTCAAAAGGCCACAGATACTAGCTTTAAAAGGGAGCCATTCTGTTGAGGTCCAATCCATAACTGTTTCCTTGTGGGAGGGGATGACAGAATCATTTAGCCAACAGAAAGCTCAGGTTTCTATGCATATGATGGTGCCATTAGTAAAGAAAACTCAGGAGGCAGAGAGATTCTGAACTTTACCCAGCAGGACTTGCCACATAGTAGGTACTCAATAAATGACTGTTGGTCTGGAATGGAACTTAATCAAAAATTATAAAAGAATATAGGAGCTAGGGAGATGGTTCAGCAGTTAAAGGCATTTGTGACTCTTACAGAGGACCTGGGTTCAGTTCCCAGCACCCACATGGTGGCTTACAACCATCTGTAACTCCAGTTCCAGGGGATCCAATGCCCTCTTCTGACTTCTATGGGCACCAGGCATACATGTGGTGCACATACATGTATGCAAAAAAGTACATAAAATAAACCTTCAAAATGTTTTAAATTAGAAGATCCAAGGATGGCCCAGTGGGTAAGAATATGTGACACATAAGCCTGATGACCTGAATTCAATTCCCACAGTGGAGGATAACTATTAAAAGTTGTCCTCTAACCTCCACACATGTGTAGTGATGTAATGCATGCGTTTGCTTCTTCCTTTTTTTAATGTGATAAAAAGAAACTTCTAGAGTCACTGGGCAACTTCTGTCACAAAAATGACATAAGATAACATGCTGTCCCTCAATTGCTTGCACATCATCTGTGTGAGCCGTCTGATCCAGAAGCACCCGCTGGTGTCTCAGCCAGTCCTCAGATCTAGTCACAGCACCCGTGGCAGCTTCACCAGATGTGTATAGGTCAGCTGCAATCTGTATCACCAGAGGAAGACACCATGAGCAAACTACTGTACTTCTGCCCTACCCAGCCAAGTACTGAGAAGCTTGGACTACTTCAAACAGCTGGGCTTTCCTTAAAAGGTAGTTAGCTGGGCAGTTGTGCAACTCACCTTTAACCCCAGCACTCAGTAGGCAGAGATGGGTGGCTCTCTGTGAGTTCAAGTCCAGCCTGATCTACAGAGCCAGGGCCAGGACAGCCAGAGCTGTTACTCAGAGAAACCCTGTGTCAAAAAAAAAAAAGAAAGAAAAGAAAAAGAAAAAAGAAAGAAAGAAAGGATGGAAGGACGGAAGGACAGAAGGAAGGGAGGGAGGGAGGGAGGAAGAAAGAGGTGTTAGATAACTTAGATAACCCTCCCCCTGACATGCCCACTGGTATTATGACTGGGCTTGTGCTAGATATGGAAGTGTCCACAAAATGGTAGTGAACACTTGAATATTCCAGAATATTTCAAAGTCCATGGAAACTGACATGATGTATACCTTCAAAGAAGAATTAACACTGCAGTTATTTATTCTATTATGCATCAAGTATAAAATTAATTCCCCATTCTATAGTACTGAAACAATTTGATTTTAAAAAATTTTAATGGGGGCTAGGGAGCTGGCTGAAGTGAGGTAGATTATGGCAGCAGGCATATCTGGCTGAGGCTGCTCACCTCATAGCAGCCAGGAAACAGACAAGCAATAAAGCATCCATCTGTTCCGGCACACACCCAGTGACCTACTTTCTCAAACTAAGCCTCACCTCCTACTTTTCACCACCTCCCAATAATGATGCCATATTAAGGATCCATCAAGAGCTTAATCCATTTATTAAACCAAAACCCATTCTCTCTCTCTCTCTCTCTCTCTCTCTCTCTCTCTCTCTCTCTCTCTCTCTCTCACACACACACACACACACACACACACACACACACACAAAACTTGCAACCAAGCTCTAATCAATGATCCTTCAGAGGACATTTCAGATTCAAACCCTAATCAAAAATCTAAAAAACATCTAGATCCTAGTTTTTATTTTTATGCATTAACATGAAGACTGTGAACTTTATTTTATTCATTTCACTTATGAAGTCAGTTCATCATGCTGTCTCTCTGTTTGTGAGAGATGCTCAGTTCTAAGTGGCCTAGACTCAACCTATGAGGTTACTCATTTGTTTTTTAAAACAATGAGTGGTTTGTGTTTTGGTTTCAGCAGTAGACCAAGGGTTACTTTTGGATTGCTTTTCAACCTGGCCTCACCCCAATGTCCTGGGTTGCATGTGGCTGCCAGGAGAGACCTCAGAGTGATCACCAAACACTGGAAGCAGGATGAGTGGAAACAAGCCTGACTAAAGAACCCTGTAAAACTCAATTTACAAGACATGATGGAGGTCAAAGAGACTAAACGGGAAAGTATCGGTTGACATTTAACTGGGCGTTTTCATCAAAGAACTGTACAGCACCCCCCAGCAGGGTCCAAAACTTCACTTATATGTATAACCCCACAAGGCGAGTGCTTAAACAGTAAGTGGCCAGCAGGGTATTTCTCCGTGGCAATGGAGGAGACCCAGGATTCAGTGAAAAGTGAGAAACATTTGCCATTCAACCCATCCCAGGCTCCATCACATTTACCCCTCCTCCTGCCTTCCCCGCCCATGCCCATCCTCGCCCTTTCACATGGAGTCTGGGTTGAATGAAATTATTTTTATTGCTGGTGAGCCTAAATTAGGCTGAAGGCTTCTCTTTCGGAGGACATAGGGTACCAGACGGGAAGGCCAGGAAGGGAGGATGGGAACTGAGCAGTGGATGCAGGATTTTCTCCTTATTTGGGTGTAAGTGCTGCACGCTTTAAGGATTTATTTTAGGACAAGGCATAAGCACCAAGTAGGTCAGGCAGCTCCTGTGATCAGGCTGCACTCTCTATTTGAAGAGCAGGCCTCCCAGGATCTTCATTGGTAGCCTGAGGAGGTTCTAGCTCCAGAGCAGACTCTAGGGAGGACTCCAGGGCATCTGGCTGAGCTGCAGACTGGACATCTGATGGGCCTTCAGAGCTCCGGACAGGCCCTAGGCGTGGCGGCTTGACTGGTATGGACTGTGCTGCTTCAGGGCCTTTACGACTGGAAAAAGCCCTTCTTAGGCTTTGTACCTTCTGCAAGCCAGTGCGTCGCAGCCGCTGGGCCCGGGACTCCACTGGCTCCTCATCGGAACTCTCTCCTATTTGATCCTCTGGCTGCTCTGGGCCCAGCACCGATTGGTCATCGGGGCCCAAGAGTTCTGATGCTTTCTGGAAGGCGCGGGCTGGGATTTCAGTCTCCTCCTGAATGTGACGACATAACTTTGATTCTGATAGGCACTTATCCAGAGCCTGCCTGAAACTCTCTCCCCGCGGTTATTCCAAAGGAAGCTACTCCACCCTTTGCCTCTGCCCGGGGAATTGGAGCCAAATGAGGAAAGGAGGAAGATGGGGCCCGGGAGAGCAGAGGGATGAGCAGGGAGAGGGGAGAGTAGACAGCGCAAGTTTGCAAAGTAGATGAGACAAGATAACAGCCATATGGGCGCTTGGAAGAGGCACTGAAACGCCACAACCGTTATTTTCATGTGGTTGGGACTGAGCAAATCTGCGGACTGGCCTGAGCTATAGCGAGGAGGGCGTGGATTGGCCAGACTGGGAGTGAGAGAGGGATAAGGCCACGAAGTAGGAAGTGAGAAGTGGGTGCGGCTCTGAGGGTTTGTTCCACAGCTGAGGGCGGCACATAGGGTCAGGAAGGTAGAGATGGTGGACCGCTGGAAGTGGTGGCCTAGAGGCGGGGACTAGGGGATGCCTAAGGTCACTGACCTTGAAGAGCAGGACGTGCAGCTTCCCGCGCGCCACCAGCAGCCCGTGGTTGGCCCCCAGCCGCTGTACCTGAGCAGCGCGGCGCAGCGCCCGCTCCTGGGCTGCGTCGGCGTGAGAGCCCACGCGCTCCGCCTTGGCCAGCAGCTGTGCCAGTGTATTGCTGGTGGTGTCGTGGCTGCGACTCAGTGCACCCAGGCCACTCTGGATGCCACATGCCCAGCCCCCCCCCCCCCCCCCGCCCCCCCCCTGCGCCCCACCCAGCCCCCCCTGCCGCTCTCGCAGCGCCTCCAGCATGGTGGCCAGCTTCTCCAGCAAGGTCACCACGGTGACGGCGTGCACTGGGCCCCCACCCGGCGCCCCGGGCACAGGCCCCGACTCCAGCGCGCTCTCCCCCATGATCTCTGACAACTCTGACTGCTCTCCCTGTGGCCGATGGCTGCGAACTGGATTAGGGCCGACTTTCCCCGCCTTCTCCGCAGCTCAGGCCGTGACTCAGCCGGGCGGAGTTGGCATCTCCCGCGGTGGGAGAAGGAGGAGGCTGAGCAGGGGGCGGGATGTCCGAGGGGTGCTCTTTTGAGGGCTCCGCCCCAGGATCTGAGCAGTCTGGCCCAGAAATACCCCTCAAACCTTTTTTTTTTTTTTCTTCCCTGAGTTTGAGCTCTACTTTCGCCCATTTCCCTGGTGGGCCTCTTTCAGGCCTATGCTGTCCCACAGCAAACGGCGGGCCACTGAGATTTTCACTCATGAGCAGAGTGATCAAAGAAAGGTTGTGTGCGGGTTGGGTGGGGGTGTTAAAGGGTTAAGGCATAATCTGTCTTCAACGCTGCGAGCCCCATGCTGGGCGGAGGCCTACGAAGCTTGGAATGTTCTGCTACAGCCCCAGGAGTGCCCAGGCCCAAGGCAGGGCATTGTGTGGAGGCAGGCTGGGCGGGGCATCCTCTGATATTTTCCAGGTTTAGCCTCTGGCTTCATTTATTGCTGTTTCTTCCCATTGGTTTGTGTTGTCCTATTTTGGTAGCTCAGCTGTGGGTTAGAATACGTACTCCTTTGTCTGTGATTTAATGGAGGTTGACTGTGGTTCCTGCCTAATCCCCTTGCTTCCACCACCCAAGTGCTGGGGTTGTAAGTGTGTACCACCAAGCCTAGTGTGTGCTGGTGCTGGGGATTGAACCCAGGGCCCTATGCACACCAGTCAACAACTCTACTAACTGAGCTATATCCACTGCCCTGTTTCTGTGTTTCTGAGATAGGGTCTCACTATGTAGTACAGGCCTCAAGTGCAAAATTCTCTTGTCTCAGACACCCGAGTGTTGGAATAAAAATGTTCACCAGCAATGCTGGCTGACCAATGAGTTGGCTGGTTGACTGCAGTGTTAAGGATAAAATCCAAAGCCTCAAACACGTTAGACAAGTGGCCTGCCACTAAGTCGCATCCCAGCACAACTAAGATGTGTGTGTGTGTGTGTGTGTGTGTGTGTGTGTGTGTGTGTGTGTGTAGATATGTTCATGTGAGTGCAGGTGCCCACAGAGCCAGAGGCATTAGATCCTCCTGGAGGTGAAGTTACAGGTGGTTGTGAGCCACCCAGTGTGTGTGGACAGATAGAACCTGTGTCCTCTGGAAGGGCAAGGAGTGCTCCTAACTACTAAGTCATCTCCCAACCCTATAGCTTCTGTTTTGCAATAGAAAAGAATTATTGCTTCTGTGAATTGCTTCAGGGGAGCGCAGGAAAAGAGGTGACAGGAGACAGAAAGAAGCCATAAGACAATCGCTGAGGTCTTCCATTCTCCATGGAATGGTCAAATTCTCAACATGCCAAAATGCAATGCTTTGTGGAATTGTTTTCTGAGTTCCTACATGATCCTTTTGCCATATAATAATAATTTTTTTAAAAAAAAGCAAAATTGAGGTGTCTGTAATTTCTCCCTGTCTCACCAAGTTGATTTGTGGACACAGGTAAGCAGTCAAGGCAGCTCCTATAAGGAAAACTACAGAAAAAATACTCTGGATTTTCAACTAAGACAATGCCTTCAGCAACTTGGAGAGGAGACTCAGGCTTGCTGCTAGATTAGTGATTCACCAGTAGTCTTTGGTTTGTTCATAAACTGGAATCCTTCGTCTCATACACCAATACAGACTTAATGTTTCTGATTATCAAATGGAACAAAATCTTAGAAAGGGTGCAAGATGTCTAGATGAGTTCATTATACAAGAAACATCCTTTGGGGCTGGAGAGTGGGCTCAGCATTAAAAGCCCTTGTTGCTCTTGCAGAGGACCCAAGTTCAATCCCAAGCATGCACAGACATGGCAGCTCACAACAACCTGTAATTCCAGACCCAGGAAATCTGAGGGCCTCTTCTGACTGCCATGGACACCGGGCACACACATGGTACACATGCACACATGCAGGCAAAGCACACATATGCATCAAATAATAAATAAATCTCAAAAGAAAATTAAAGAAATGTTCTTGGTACTAGACACCAATTTCAGACACCCAGATAAACTAAGCATCCTTCAGGGACTTAACCCCTTGAGTAGAAGTCATATTGTGAGTCACCAATCCTAAACTTAAACTTCTGAAGCTATAAACAAAATAAACTTTCTGCCCCTAAATTTGTTTCCTCTGGTGTTTGGTAACAGCAACACAAAGCTAACACAGACATAGTTACTTGTATGTTTACTTGTGACAACAATTTTCCCTGTGTCTTAGTTACTTTTCTATTGCCATGACAAAACATCAGGATCAAGGCAACTTATAAAAGAAAGCATTTAATTTGGGGGCTCACAGTTCCAGAAGGTTAGAGTCTATGACCTAACTTGGTGGAGAGCAGGGAAGAAGGCAGGTAGGTGTGGCTAGCAGTTGCTCAGAGCTTACCTCTTGAGGTGGAAAGAGATAACTGGCAATGGTGTGGGCTGTTTGAAACCCCAAAGCCTCACTCCCAGTGATGCACTTCCTCCAATAAGGCCACACCTCCCAGTCCTTCCCAAACAGTTCCTCCAACTAGGGACCGAGAATTCAAATATATGAGTCTGTGGGGGCCATTCTCATTCAAACCACCACACCTTGTAAACCAGATAATATCTGTTTTTGTTCATTTTCATCTCACTGATGCACTTATAGGTATCTGTGGTGGAGTCCTGCTATGTGTGTTATTCTTTTGTTTAAGCTGCAGCTGCTAATAAAGAAAGGAACAACGGATACGCAACCCACGTGGAGTTTATTTACAAGAAGAGGGGAAAGGGGGGATGGGCAGTCAGCCAACCCTAGGGGAGCCGAAAGGAAGAGAGAGCGAGGGGTGGGGGGCAGGACCTTTTAAAGGGAAGGTTGCATATGCACAGTAGGGCAAAGGTCGAAAGGCATGGCCCCGTTGTTAGGGGGCGGGGTTAGGGTCATCCAGGTGTTTTGTTCTTACAATGTGTAGGAAAACAGAAGCTCAGTGCTATCTTGAATACCATTGAGTTGTTTTTGGTTTTCTCATTGGAGCATCTCTGATGTTTTTCTATTAAAATGAGATAATAGGTCTCTGTACTGAGTTAACAGCTTGTCTTTCAAGTCCTTTCCTATTTGCCATACATCTTGAGAATTATCTGGTATAGAATTGTAGAGCAGACATAGGCTCAAGTTGGGCTAAAAGAAGATAAAAAGACTTTGCCTTCTCCCATGGGTCTGTCTCTGATTGAGTTGATGAGAAATCCACAGCAAGGAAACCCTCTATCTGCAGTCACACACACACACACACACACACTGCTGTTTTGATAGATAGCTGACTTCCTACTGTGGAATGACTTCAACTATTGTTACTATTCTTTTACTGGGAACTCCACTAAGAGTTTCCAGGGACCTGGGCTAAAACAGACTTGTTGCCAACCTACAAACTGGAAAGGGTGATTCATGCCATATGCTAAGCAAGCATGAAGGGGTAGGCGTGCTATTTAGACCACGGTTTCACTCTCAGTTGTGGAAATGATATGGGAGATGTTTTGTGGTTATTTTCGTAAACTGTCCTAACAGTGGGGGGAAAAAAAGACAGGGAGATATAATTCTAAGTAAACTTTCCTCTGCTCCATCACAATGCCTAAATATGTAATTTTGCTGTTCAATATTGTAAATATTCTTTATTCTTTCCCAATCTAAATATCATACTTTTTAAAACAGAAGTATGTCATTGTCCTAGAAAATAAAATGACTAATCCTGCTTTGTTTGTTTTCTAAAAGGAAAATAAATTAACAGGGAATGAGCCTCAGTGGACAGGCCCTGCCTTCCAGCCTTTGTCATAGGCATCCTGTCTACGGAAGAGGTAAGGCCACACCACACAATAAGGGGATTCTGTGCCACCAGCAGCTTAAATACCTATGAGTTCGGGGCAGCAGGAAAGAAGAATTTGCACTGTTTCCAGAAATTAAACTGTTCAAATAGATAGACCCCAGGACATGGGAATGCCTTCAATGACAAAAATCAAGTATATTGCTTACTCCAATGACTGTTTTTTGTTGATGTGGTTTTTTTGTTGTTGTTGTTGTTTCAACTTTTATAGACAGAATATTATCTCTCAGAAAGATACGCATGAGTCCCCCTCTCAATACCTGTGAATGTGATCTTATTTGGATCCCAGCCCTTGGCAGATTAAGTTAAAGCTCTTGAGATGAGATCACCCTGAATTTAGAGTACACACCTAGACTGTTGCCTTTATAAGGGAAGACACGGGGCCTCAGTAAAGAAGATGATGTGATGACTGAGGCAGACACAGGGTAGCCACAAACCAAGGTCTTCAAATAATTGTCAGTGCCCCCACAGATTAGTAGAGATGCAATATATATAGACCCCAGGACATGGGAATGCCTTCAATGGCAAAAATCAAGTATATTTCTTATTTCTATGACTATATATATATATATATATATATATAT